CTCATGCCATCAGCCCACACCGCGATGACCGCATCCTCGGGATTGGCACCGTGTGGTCGTTCAGTTCGAATTGCCATCTCTGGTGGCGCGCTGGTCGGAACAGTCGTGGACTTCCTTGCAGCGAGCCGTGATTCCTTGTCCCAGCTGAACACGTAGGCCGTCTCGTGATCGCCATCGAACGTGGCGCTGGGCTTCTTCATGAGGGCGGCGTCGGAGCTGGCGGGCTTGCCCACGACCACGTCCTTGGCAGCTGGCTTGCCTCTCCGTGCCTTCTTCGCGACTGGTGGCTCCTCGTCCTCGTCGTCCTCCTCGGGTTCGCACACGTGCTCCTCCTCTTCTCCTTCTTCATCATTGCCGTTGTCCTCGCCAGCACCACCTCCGCGGTCACCAAATAGAGCAACGAACCATTGTGGTGGGGAAGCCCGTCCGCGATACACAGCGATGTGCCTGCACATGGTTCGGAACCGTCGGCCTGTCGTCTCACTCCATTCGGTCAGCTCCGCAGCGTCTCGGAACGATATGTGGTTGGTCTCGGCAACGCTGCGCAGCGACGGCTCCACGTCGCTCTTGTTGAAGTGCAGGTCGTCACTGAACTCCTCTGCCGAGCTGCGATAAAAAACGCATTGTGTTAGTGTTACCCCCCATGTGACCACATTAATGAACGCGATGACGGGTGGAGATCATCGCGGCGATAATGATATGGACTAACGAGACGATAATGGTTGCATTGATGTTGGCGATGACGATGATGACGATGATGATGAGGCTCAGCATGATGGTGATATTGATGTTGATGTCATTGGATATGTGTGGGGGGGGGGGGGCTGGTGCACAATTAGAGGGGGGGCTATGACGGGAACGTTTGAATCGCAGTGTCCGTCAGCAGCGCATTGAACAGCGGAGCCTGCTCTCGAATCTGTCGCTTGTCGATCTGCGATTGCTTGATGTTCTCACCGTATGTGATCCACGTGGCTTTTCTCACGAACTTGGAAAAGATGCTCGTGAGCTGCTGACGTTTGGTATCAGACATGCTGCTCGTGTGCAGCCATCGCACTCGGACCGAACAGCTACGTACATAGGGTTATGACGTAGGTGGTCAGGCCAGGGCGGTGCACGAGACGGACGGCGACGGCTCTGACGACGAACCACAAAGAATGCGAAGACGGGCAGGAGGAGGAGGAGGAGGATGCGAAGCACGGGGGCGAGGAGGAGGAGGAGGAGGAGGAGGAGGAGGAGGATATGAGGAGGCGGATGAGGAGGAGGAAACTAATGAGGAGGAGGATGCGAAGGAGCAAGAGGAAGACGGCCCATGGAACCATTACACGCAACACCCCAAAATTGCGGATACGAGCGAGGGTGACGTCGGCAGTCCGCGAGATTCTGGAGAAGCCCGCCGCAGGCGCCAAACTTTCACAACATATACAACGAGCGATCACTAGGCGCACATTTGTTCGTTAAAAAATGTGGGTAGGTCGCGGGTGGGTCGCACATGTGTCGCGGGTGGGTCGTTGTTGGGTCGCGGGTGGGTCGCGGGTGGGCCGCGGGCGGGTCGCAGGGATTTTCGCGGGTGGGTGGGTGGGTAGCGGGTGGGTCGCGGGTGGGTCGCGGGGTGGGTCGCGGGGCGGTCGCGGGGTGGGTCGCGGGGCGGTCGCGGGGTGGGTCGCGGGTGGGTCGCGGGGTGTGTCGCAGGTGGGTCGCGGGGTGGGTCGCGGGGCGGGTCGCGGGGCGGGTCGCGGGGTGGGTCGCGGGGCGGGTCGCGGGGTGGGTCGCCCGTGCGACGACGACAACACACAACGCCAGCCTAACACCGCAACAAGCAGAATCCACACCACGGATCCCCATTCCAGCTACGAGCCCACGGACAATGAATGGCCGTTCGGCCTTCTCATTCTGACTACTACCACTGCCGCTACCACTACCACCACCACTGCAGCTACGATGAACACTAACAATGTCACACAGTAGCAGAGGTAGTAGCGAACACTAGTGGCCGTGGCCTTGGCAGGACTAGTGGTCGTGGTAGTGGCAGTGGTAGTTGCAGGTGCGTAGTGTCAGTCTACTTATATACCCTTGTACCCGCTTCGGGCCTGCCGATCGGGATCTGCGGCGGCCACTGAATGGTCGCCGTGCTCAACTAGTGCAGCAGCTGACCGCCTGAAGTCCTGGTCTCGCCAACGTGCCATGCCCATTCTCATCCTCCACCGCACCTCGGAATTCCGTTCACCTCCCACCCGTTGGTCGGCTCTTTGTTATGGCTTCGTGATTTGGCGGTGGGGGTTTCACGTTCGAACGCGGCCTGATCCAACGCGACAGGGCTGTGGATCTGGGCGCGCTCGAACGTGGAATTCCCGCCGCCAAGTCACACACGCGCGCGAATGGGCCGAGCAACGGGCTGAAGGCGAACGGAATTCGGATGATTGTCGACGTGGAGGGGGCGAGGGGGGAACAGTGCAGGACGGGGAGGGGGAGGGGGGGCGACCGACGATGTAAGTGGGTGGGTTGGGCACAGACGGGCCCGTATGTTTTTTCTCCATCCCCCCCATGCATCATTCAATTTCTCCCATTGGATCCTCCTCGATCTGCGAAGCGGTCGGCGGCGGCAGCGCGTCTGGGAGCGAGGGGGCGGTCTGGGAGTCTCGAGCGGTCAGCTGCGTGGACTCGGTGACGTCGGCCCGCTCGGCGGCCGCGGCGGCCGCCGCAGCGGGCGCCGCAGCGGGCGCGGAGGGCTCCTGGAGGGGCGCCTCGTCGGACGAGATGGTCTCACGATCAGCGGGCTCGGCAACCTCTGGAGGCAACCAAACTCAAACACTCGGGACCATCGTGGGGGAACCTGGGGCCATTGATTTTGAATCGCACCTGTTGGTGCGGAGCGTCAGCCACGGACTGCGTAAATGGGGCCCACCCCGCAGGCAGCGTTCGTTGACCCTTCTCCGTCGGTGTCGGACTCCTCTGGTCCATCTTGAGCTGTTTCTGTTAGCCGTGTTTAGGGATGAGGAATGAGCAGTGTTTCTGCTAGCCGTGTTTATGTTAGCCATGTTTATGTTAGCAGTGTTTCTGTTAGCCGTGTTTTTGTTAGCCGTGTTATAGGAATCAACAGGGCTCAGGGAATTGCAAACGGTGTCCTGGGAGCTCGGAGCTGGTTGCGACATGCCTCCAGCTGCGCGTGGACGCGTCCGAGGGTCGGGGATCGCCTGGGCGATGAGGCTTCGAACCAGAGCGGCGGCGCCAGCAGAGGGGGAGCCGCGCCAGTAGACAGGTATGGGAGACTATGGATAGGGAGAACGGATGGGGAGGAAAAGAGGGCGGCGGTGTGGATGGAGAAGATTTGGGCATTCCTGGAAACCTTTGTCTGGATTCCTATGGATCCCGCGGACATCCCGAACCTTCCCGAAACTTCCCGAAAGTTCCCGACAACTTCCCGCAATCTTCCCGCGATCTTCCCGAAACTTCCCGAAACTTCCCGAAAACTTCCCGCAATCTTCCCGCAATCTTCCCGCGATCGTCCCGCAACTTCCCGAAACTTCCCGAAACCCCCCCGCGAACTTCCCGCGCACTTCCCGCAAACTTCCCGCAAACGTCCCGTAAACGTCCCGCGACCTGCCCGCGACCCGCCTTCCTGCACATTATATCGTTATCTGTAGACATGCAACGACACTGACCAATATAGAAAAGGTGAAAAGGTGAAAAGGTGAAAAGGTAACTGAAAAAAGGTGAAAAGGTGAAAGGCGAACTTGCGGGTAAAAAGGTAACAAAATACTAGTTACCCAAAAAGTGTGCTAAGTGACCTGTGGGAGGTCGGCGAGCTGCTTCCAGTCGGGCCGCGCCGGCGTCGCGAGGTTGAGCTCCCTCCCCCGCTGTTCCAACGCGGAGGCAGGCAGCCTGGAGGAGCCCAGAGGGAACGCATCCCACTCGGGGCCGTCGGCGAGTCGGAGGCCAAGGCCCGCCACCCTGGGCGCGGCAGCCAGGGCTCCGCTCATGCGGAGGCCCCTGACGACGCCCTCGCACTCTCTGTTGCCCTCCTCGCAAGCAAGGTGCATAGCCAGGACCGCGTGCACGAGGGCGAGGCCAGACGCTGCCATGCTGGGCGCCTCTCCGGTAGCCAGGGCGACCTGCCTGGCGGCAGCGCGCACGCGACTGACCCCTCTCCTGAGCCTGCTTGCCCAGCTTGCTGAAGCGGATGTCAGTCAGCTGCAGTCGCGGGGTCTGCTTGGGGCCGATGGTGTGCATGATCTGCCGCTTCAGCCAGTGCCTTTCTCGCACCGTCTCCGCGTGCTCCGCCGCGAGCGAGTCCGCCTGGGGCGGGCGCGACGGGAGCGGGGGGCGGGAGGGGGGCGGGGGCCGAGGCCGAGGACGAGGACGACGATGTCAGGGACTTGTGTGCCGCAGTCGAGACCCTCGTCCTCCTCCTCCAACTCCAACTCCAACTCCACCTCAAACTCAAACTCAAACTCTTCCTCCTCCTCCTCCGCCTCCTCCTCCTCCTCTTCCTCCTCCTCCTCCTCCTCCGCCTCCGCCTCCGCCTCCGCCTCCTCCTCCTCCCCCTCCTCCTCCTCCTCCTCCTTCTCCTCCTCCTACTCCTTCCTCTTTTCCCTCCCCTCCTCCGCCTCGCCTCCGCCTCCGCCTCCTCCTCCTCCTCTTCCTTCCTCCCCCCCCCTCTTCCTCCTGCTTCCCCCCCCCTCTTCTTTCTCCTACTCCTCCTCCATTTCCGTCTCCCTTTCCTCCGTCCCCCGCCCTTTTCCTCTCATCTCCTCCTCCTTCCTTTCCCTCCCTCTTCCCCCTCCTCCTGCCTCTCCTTCCCCCCTCTCCTTCCCTCCTCCTCCTCCTACTCCTCCCTCCTCCTCCCTCCTCCTCCTCCCCCTCCCCTACCGCCTCCTCTTCCTCCTCCTCCTCCTCCCTCCTCCTCCTCCTTCTCCTCCCACCCCTCCTCCTCCTCCTCCTCCTCCTCCTCCTCCTCCTCCCCCATCCGTGCCCCCCGCCTGGATCAAGGAGTTCTCTGGCGCCAGGTCGGCGAGCCAGCAGCAGATCAGCTCGTCCTGCGCGGCCTCCGGGCGCAGCCAGATCAGGACCTTGTCGGTGTCGAAGTACGCCGGGTGCGCCGTCCGAAGTGCCACCCAGCCAGAGCCCAGCTTCGTGCGCTGCCCTGCCTTCCTCTGGACCCGCACCCCCTTGAAGAAGAACTCCTCGCCCTGCAGCCAGCGCCCGTCTGCGCATATATTCTCCAGCCTGGCTGGCTGCGTCGCAGGCACGAGCAGGATGCTAGGCAGGATGCGCCCTTGAGGGAGCTGGCCTGCCTCGAGGTTGAAAAGGCCGTCGAGCTGCTGCCTGCAGATCCAGGTCAATCTCGCCCTGTCCTTCCTCGTGCTGCCGAGTGCGTCACAGGCGTCCTGCCAGTCGGTGCAGAGAGCGCCGGCGCCTTTCTCTCCCGCCTTGTGCTTCAGGGTCGCCTGCCTGCGCTCGCCCAGCTTCTCAGCAGGCACCGGGGCCTTGCCGACGGAGAAGTCGAGGTAGACGGGCACAGCGTCCCAGAAGAGGCAGGCGATGTCTGACCTCCCCCTGTCGAAGAGCTCGGGCTGGTCCACAAAGGCAGACAGCTGCTTCACGTCCCTGGAGTTCGCGACGCCCAGGAGGAAGTCCCAGCTCTGCAAGGAGAGCAGGCAGGCCAGGTTTGCCCCTGCAGGGAGCATGGGCAGGACGTTGCTGGGCGTGCGGAGGTGCAGCTGCGAGTGGAAGCACAGCTTCTGCCTCCTGTACCTCCTGGTGCCCTTCTTCTCGGCGAGTTCCGCTAGGTGCGCAGTCAGTGCGGCGAGCCTGTCCTGCTCGGCCTGCGCCAGCTCTGCCCCCTCGGCGGCCCTGGCCTGCAGGTCCCAAGCTTCCTCCTCAAGGAGCAGCGTGAACTCGTCGAGCAGGTCGAAGTCAGACAGGGAGACCCCCAGCATCAGCAAACTCCTGGCCCACTGGCTGACGGCCTCTTCCTGTTCAGGCCAGTCCGCAGACTTGGTTCTCTTCCTGCACCCCTCCTTGCCCATCCGGACACCCCTGTCCTTGGACTGAAAGCGGGACCAGCCAGGCGTTGCCGCGGCGCTCCTTCGCCTGCTCGCCTGCTCTGCGGCTCGTCCAGTCCAAGCCTTTGCTCTCCTCTGCTCGTCGTCGCTCAGGTAGCGCTTCAACGCCGTCTGGGCGTAGCCTGTTTCTGCAGTCAGCCTCTCCCGGAAACGGGCAGGCCTCGCTCCAGCGAGCGCCTGCTGCGCGAGCTCGTCGGCCAGTCTCTTCATCTCGAGCTTCCTGGCCGGCGTCGGTGGTTCCAGGTTCGCCACGCCGCCGGCTTTCCTGGCCTCGACGACCTTCCTCGGGGCATTCTTGCCCGCCACGCCAGGCGGGATCGCTCCCCTGCCTGGCGGCCCCCCCCTCTCCGGGAGCAAGGCGAGGGCTCCTTCCTCGCCCCCTCTGGCGGCCGCGTCGTCCAGCGCAGCCAGCGCGCCAGGCGCCTGGGAAGGTTTCAGCCTGCTGGCGGGCGTGGCAGGCTCGCTCGGGCCGGGCGTGGCAGGCTCTCGCGGCCGCTGCAGAGGCGAGAGCGTCAGGGCGCCGCCGCTCGCAGGTGGCAGCGCCCCCTGCTCGCTGTCGCGTGCCGCCTTGGCTCTTCTCTCGGTAGCCTGCAACGAGAGAGCCATTCGCTTCTGGGCCCTCGCGCGCCCCAGCTCTCTGGCGGACTTCGGCTTGGGTCCGCGCGCGCCGCCAGCCAGCAAGAGCGGCGCGCAGCTCGCGGGGGGCGGCGCCGCCTGTGGGAAAAAAGTCAGCCAAGGGCGTCTGCTTGAAGCCGTCGCCTGGCCCCAGCATCCGTCGCAGCTGGTCCTGCGCGCGCTGCGCCTCTGCCTCTGCTGCCTCCGTGGCGGCGGCGGCGGCCGACCCCAGCGTGCCAGGCAGGTTCGCGACCCCCTGCTGAGCAGGCGCGTCCTTGTCGTCGCTGCTCTCCACCAGGAAGGCCCCGCCTGGTCCCTCGCCTCGCCCTGCCGTCGCTGCCTCGCCTGCCTCCTTGTCGTGGCCAGGCAGCTGCGGGGGGCGCGAGGGGAGTTCGCCCCCCTCGTCGGGCTGCGCGGCGTCGCCGCCCAAGCCTGCCAGAGCTTCTTGGCCTGCGTCCTCGGCCTCGCCCCCCCCCCCCCCCTCGGCCTGCGTCCTCGGCGGCCCTCTCCTCCGAGGCCTCGAGCTCCTCTGCCTCGGCCCCAAGCTGGGGCGGGCAGCGCGCCAGGGGTCCTCCTTCGTCTGCGTCCTCGGCGTCGCTCTCCCTGCTCGTGTCGGCCTCGCCCTCCTGTCCTCCTCGGCCTGCGTCCTCGGCCCTGTTCGTGTCGGCCTCGTCTGCCTCCTCGCTTGCGCCCTCCGTCCCTGCGCTCTCTGCGCCCTCGTCTGCCTCCTGGCTGTCCTGTCCTGTCTGCTCCGCGGGCTGGGCAGCCCGCGAAGCAGACTCCACTGCCTTGTGGGCCTGCCAGGCCTGCGCGCCGCTGCGTCGGAAGGCAACCCAGGCCTCGGCCGCCTCGGAGGAGTGAGACTCCGCTCCCCTGGCGGGTTCTTCCGCGGCTCCTCGCAGGGGGGGGCAAGCCCCCTCCAGTCAGGCGGAGAACCCAGCCGCCCGTCGGCCGCGCGGGCGGCTCGCCGCGCGCAGGTCCTCGCGCAGGCCGGGTGAGCCAACCGATGCAGTCAGGGCCCCTCCGCTGACCCGCCACGCCGCAGGCCACGGAGGGCGGGGCCAGGCGCCGCGCCAGAGCCCTCTCGAGCCGCACAGCCGCGGCGAGAGTGCGGACGGAGAGGAGGCGACGTCGGTCGCACGTCCGCGCGCGGGCGTCCTTGCGGGCGACCGCGCGCGGACGTGCGATCCTTCAGCCTCGAACGCCGCGCAGGAAACGCAGTCCGCGCGCGGGCGCCCTTGTGGGCGACCGCGCGCGGACGTGCGATCCGTCAGCCTCCAACACCGCACAGGAAACGCAGGAAATGATGATGCTGATGATGATGATGATGATGACGATGATGACACGGCGCGGCACAGCACGGGGCATCCTGCGCGACACGGCACTGCACCACACGGCACGACGCAGCAACAGAACACGACGCCGCAGGCGACCGCACGGACGCGCGACACCACTTGGGCGGGAGCGAATCACTTGAATTGTTTCTCGTGGCCATCACAGCATGTGTCCACGCGACGAGCGAACGAACAAACGCTGGAGGGAAGGAGAAAGGGGGGAACGATTAAAAAATCAGTTTCGGGCCGCAGCCCTCCTCCCTCCTCCCTCCTCCCTCCCACCTCCCTCCTCCCGCCCTGCCTCGCCCCCCCACCCCCCCCCTCCCTCCTCACTGAACCCTAGGGAGGAAGGAGGAGAGGAGGGGGCCTCTCCCTTCCTCCCTCCCCCCTCCTCCCTCCCCCCCTCCTCCCTCCCTCCTCCCTCCTCCCTCCTCCCTCCTCCGTCCCTCCCCCCTCCTTCCCCCCTTCCTCCTCCTTGGGAAAATCAATAATCTTCAGGGGGAAAGGGGGGGGGGCGATTAAAAAATCAGTTTCGGCCCCCAGATTCTAGTAGTACGCCCAACTCTTCACGGATAGGGCCCCCCGGGGGAGGGGGTGGGGTGAGGTATTTTTTAATCATATGCACACTTTAGGGAGAAAGAGTTCGTGCAAAATCACGGGTAGACGTTCCAATGTTATGGAAATTTGCGCGGCTGGGAGCTTTCGCGCCGCCGCCGCCCAAAGGACGGCTGTTGCAAGGAATGATGGCGGGCATTTGTCCAACTACCCCGCCGCCGCCCGCTGGGCATGCGCTTTGATGTAGCGCGGCGAACACCGCAGTCACTTCGACTTATTATTTGTGCAACAACTATCACCCTTGCCCACCAGAGTGTATTTGTTGCAATGGATTATGGCCGGGTAGTTGCTGGCACTAACCAACAACTACCCGGCCGCCGCCCACTCGGATTGCATTGTTATAGAGCACGGCGGTCACCGACGTCACTTCGACATATTATTTGTGCAACAACTACCCACCCATGTCCACCAGAGTGTATTTCTTGTCACGTAAGATTGCCGGGTACTTGGGTAGTTGCAGATGTTAAAAGAAACGGAAAGGGTGGCCTTCTTGTTCTTTTAGAAAAATGCAACTTGCCAAGTACCCGGCAATAATCCGTGACCAAAAATACACCCCGGTGGACATGGGTGGGTAGTTGTTGTACAAAAAATATGTCGAAGTGACGTCGGTGACCGACGTGCTATAAAAAAATGCAGTCCGAGTGGGCGGCGGCCGGGTAGTTGTTGGTTAGTACCAACAACAACCCGGCCA